TTTTTAATTTTTATTTTTATTTAATTATTTTTATAGGGAACTTCCGAACTTCATCTAAATCTTTTCTTGTTAATAGAGTAACTCATACCTTAAGGTATATTAAAAAAATAAAACATTTGATAATCTTTTAATTTTTTTGTGAAATTAAAAAATTATATTGACAATATACATATCAAATATTAACTCTAAAATTATATATAATTGAATAGATGAAAGCGAAATTTTAAAAAATGAAGAAGTTAAAGCCTAAGTATTTTTCTAAGAAAATGTTATGTGTCTGGAGTCCGGTCCAATGCTGTTATTGTTTTAAAAAGCTCACAATTTTTTGGTTTCTTTTTAACTGACAAAAAAAAAAAACCATATTTTACATATGAAAGGTAGGGGTTGTTTAGGTTGAAAAGGGTAAGCCACTAGAGAGAAAAAAAATTGTTGCCAAGTGAGGAGCAAAAAAAAAAAAGAAAAAAAACTGAAATTGAAAAAAAAAATTATTCATGATTTGATTGAATTAAAATTTTGTTAATACATTCACGACTCAATATTTTACATTCAAAATAGTGAATATCGAAGTTAAAGCTCTAGAAATAAATTTAAAATGTATTTATTGGATTACTTATTTGATAAATTTTTTTTAATTATTATTTTACTTTAATTTTAATTAAAAAAAATTTTGTATATTTATTATTTGATAGTAAAAATTTTTTTAGTAGTTCATAATTTCTTTATTTACATTGAAAAACTTTTTACATAAATCTTAATGAAAATTTTTTTTGCATTATTAATTTTTAATTATTAATTATTTACTATAAGTTTATTATCATATATTACTTTCGTACTATTATATTTATAGCTTTAAGCAAAAAAAAAAAAAGCCTAAATAATTAAAAAAGAATTTAACAGATCCTAAGACTTTTTAGGCAATTATTAAAAACTTGACACTTCATGTTTTCTAAAAAAAAAGTAAATAATATCACACACTCACTGACACGAAATTAACTCTCATTAGTTTCTCTAACCCAAATTAACCGCACCAACAAATGATTAAAAAAAAAATAGAGAAAACCCATAGTTTGCATCATCATGTGCCAGTTCTTCATCTTATGCATTTATCCTTCTTTAGATGTCTTTAAATTATTTCATGATTGGTTATTTTTTGTTTGACGATCCCATTGGGCTTTCTCCTTTTGAAATATGACATTTTGGTTGTTTCTTTCCCTTTTTTCTTAAATCTTTTTACAATTTATAATGAAATATTTTGATTTTTTATTGAGTTTATAATTTATTTAATACTTTTTTTCTCTTACTTTAATATTTGGATTAAATACGATTGCTTCGAATAATTGAATAGAAGGTTATGGCTGATGGTTGAAGAAACTTGGAGATTAATTGACCTTAGATCCTTTTAGCTTATTATTCTTTTTCTATGTGTTTACATGAAGCCAATGATTTGGCTATGTTTAGCTAGATTTAACTGTGTTGTTGGGATTTCGAGGGATAGGAAGATTCCGCTCTCTCCTATAGTTCATTGTTTTTATTTATAAATTGCAATTTTTTTATAAAAAAAATTCATAATTTTTAGTCTTATTAAATTAATCAAGATAATAGAATGAAAGATAGTTAATTTGGTGCTTTATATCACTTATAATCGTTGTATTATAATTAATCAATCATAATTTAAAATAAAATATATAAAAAAACGAAAGTATGTAATTTTAAAAATATAAATGTTCGAATATTAAAAATATTAGTAGTAAAGTTTTGAGGGTAAGCTTTTTGTGTGAGTTAAAAGAATAAATAAATATTGTATATATTATATTTTATTGAAATTTAGTAATAATTTAATTAACCACTATGTAATAAACAAATAATTTTATTTATTGTATATAATATTCCATCAAAATGGGTATCATAAGGAAATTGCCAAAATATTGGGTAAAAATTTTAAAGGAAGATGCAACTACAATTAGACAAACAATTAACCCATTTGATACTAATGATGGCAGCCATCTTCTTTTAAATGATTTTTTTTAAATACCCACGTTATTGATTAATTAATTAAATAAATGTCACTATATATGTGTATTGTGATGAAGATCTAGGGGACTTCATTTTCTATTATTAAATTATTATTGTACCCTTATTCATTATTTTTGTTTTTAAATGTTTAACTTTGTTTGTTTGTTTTATTTGATTTTCTGTTTATTTAATTATCTTTGTATTTTTTAAATATATTTTAATTTGTTATTAATTTAAATTTTAAATTAGGATAGATTTTGATTAGTTAAAAAAAAATTTAAATTTGAAAAAAAAGTAATAAAATTTTGAAAATAAATAAAAAATATTCCAATGACGAAATTTTTAATAATGGCGAATGATTGATTTTTTAAGAAAATTGTATATGAGATATTTTAAATTTTATCCAAATTATGGAAAATTTTAGAAAAAAATTCACTAATGATCATTGATATTAATTTTTGAGCCAAATAAAATGTAATATAATTTGACAAAATAAAAATTATTTCAAAATGATAAAATTTTGAAAATAAATCAAAATAATTTCCAAAATGAAATTCATAGAAATCACGAATTATTAATTTTTTAATAATTTTTTATATAAAAGGTTTTTTTTTAATTTGACTCAAATGATAAAAAAATTAGATAAAATTTCAATAATTATAATTGATATTTATTTTCAGTAATAATACAATAAAAGTGAGAAATTTATAAAAATAATGTAATAAATTTGGAAATTAAAATTTAGATCTATTGAATGTTTAAATATATTTACCTCTTATATCTTAATTAGAGGTGCAAATGACACATTAATATTCTTAAGCTTTCGGGTTTGATTTGAATAAAATTCAAATTCGATTCAATTATTATCGAGTCGAACTCGAGCTCGACTCATCGATCGAGCTACTCGAACTGAGTTCGAATATTTTTATATTTGACTCGAGTAATTTGCGAGTCTAATCGAACTTTTATATTTAAATATATTTTTATTATTTTAATTAATAAAATATATCGAACTCAAGCATAAATAATCGAATTTTTATCGAATATAAGAATCAAATTTATTTTTACATATTAATCGAGCCTAATCAAATGAGTTCGAATAGCTCGATTTTTATCTTGAGTCAAGCTCAAACTAAAAAAATGAAACTTGATCGAGTTCGAGCTGAGTATCAAACTTTAAATTTTGAATCGAATTCAAGTTCGAGTTTAATACTGTATCAATTCGAACTCAATTAATGACATCCCTAATCTTAATACATACTTTTTCTCTCTCTCATCCATGAAAGGTTAGATCAATATTCATTTTGCATATTTCAATTTTGGATTAATAGTTCCACGGTCTCTAACTTTGTGCCAGGGTTGGACCGCCGTATTTGGTTGAAGGAGACCTGGCCCCTTCAAAAATATTTTAAACCCCTTTAGTATGTATATGCGTTTATATTAAACAAATTTAAATGGTTCTTCAAATTAATACTATTAATATTTTTTTTCTGTAGTTTCTTAATTTAATTTTATGCTTTGCATTTTAAGAAAGTTAAGACTACATTACTATTTGTGATTTTATTATGTCTATTAATCATTATTTAAAAATCTTAAAAATAGAGAATTTTATTTTAAATTTTAAATTACAATCGCGTGATTTTAATTTATTAATTTTTTCAATATTACAAAATCTAATCAAGTATTAAATGTGCCTTTTTATTTTGTCAAAGATTGAATCTTATTCAGTTAAACTAAAGTTTATTATTCTATTGACTAAAATATTAATATTTTATCAACAGATCACATAATTATTGATTTTTTTTTATTAAATATAAATTTTTTTGTTCATAACATATTTCATTTTTAATTACTCTAAATCTCTATCTTGTGTTGTTTTGTAATACTTTCAACAAAAAAATCACATTAGAATTATTTAAAAAGTTATAAAAGCACAATTAACTTTTAATCACAAAATTTTCAACTTTATTTTTAAAAGCACTTTTTTTTGTTTGTAAAATTTTTTTTTAACGACCTATTCAACTCTATAAAAATATTGATTTGTGCATTTTTTAATTTTAAATATAAAATAGCAAAAAAATCAGGAAAGATTTCATATCTATTAAAAGATTGAATATTTAGTAATTTTATTATTAATGTAAAAGTTATTTTATTCTTAAACATTTTATATAATAATATTTTTTGCATAATTTTATAAACTCAATTTTTTATTAATACATATTATTTATATTAATAAGTATAATAGAAAACGTCATAAAAAAGGTTAAAATATAATATGAATTGGTCCCTTTATAAGCAAATGTCAAAATTTGCCTCTACTTTGAGGTCAATTTTATTTTAATATCTAATTTTTAAAAAATTCTACTAGTGTTTTTTATTATCTAAAATTATATTATTTTTATTCTTTTTTCTATAAAACTATTTAAATTAACAATAAATATCACTTAATGTCACGTGGATAGCGTCAACTGACATTTCTTGTGATAAAAGAATAAGCAAAATAAAATTTGCTCAAATTTTAGGGACAAAATGCTCCTATCTCAAAATTTTATATCTTTCAAATATAATTTATAAAATATTGAATTTAAAACGATATTTATTAGGTAGATATTTTTGTTTCTAATAGAAACGAAATTTTTAAAAATTAAAATTAAATTAAACTTTCAAATTCTTTTATAAAAATTCTATATCATTTTAAAAACAAAATTTTATTTTCTATTAGAAATATTTAAAATTATAATTTACCAATAAAATAATATTTTTACAGAAATTAAAATTTTTTATTTTTAAAATGATGTGGATTTAAAAAAAATAAAAATTTTAACTTAATTTTAATTTTTGAAAATCTATTTTCTTTTAAAAATAAAAAATTAACTAATAAATTATATTACGATAAAAACTATAAAAATCTTATTTTAAATGCAGGGACCACGATGCTATTAAATTTCTAATTTTTAAAGTGATAACGTTACTATTGAATTAAGTGTTTGGATTACAACTGAATTAAATGTTGGAATGCCAATTTAATAACAAAGGCTTTTGCTATTTAAGCTTCTCTATACCTATGACTTATTTTGCCTCAAGAAACCCAAATCCATCGCAAAGGATGGACCTCGTAAAGTGCTTCACATTTGAAATAACAAAAACAAGGGGTGAGAATTACAGGGATTCAGCTATATAATATAAATCATAAGAGCAGAGCAGAGGGATTATTGCAATAATTGGCAAAGAACAAATAATAATTCCTACACTTTGCTTGAGGGGAAAAAGAAAACCCCATCAGCCAAAAATGAATTCCCACATATCTTTCATCTTTCAAACTTTCCCTTGTATAAAAGTCATTCTTTTCCTTTCAAGATACTATGATGAAAAAGAAAAACTAAAAGTTAAAAAAAAAAAAAAACAAAAAAAAAAGAAATATGAAATCTCCTATTAAAGTCAAAATTTTCACTTTCGACTCTACAAATAAACGCGATCGGCCCTAATAGGTTTATATTGATGAAGATCGCATGAATTACTAGCAATAAAAAAGATAGCACATTTCAACTTGTGACACAATGTTGGAGATATGGGTGGCTCAGATTTATGTACCTTTCCCATAGAGGCTTGTACCTTCCAATGGCCAATTTTAGCCATGGCTTCATGTTCCCATTGAAGTGAACAACTGCTGCACTCTCAATCAGGCGGTTGTCAATGCTAAGATCATAACCTAATCCTAAGACATGCCATCTCCGATCAAGTGGTTCTGTGAGCCCATAAAAGGCTAAAAGACCGGCAGGAAGAGTTCCCAGTTTCCAGAGTGTTTGATCAGCATTTTGCTCCTGCCAGTAATGATATCTCGCAGTGACATTTGCTTTCCTCCATGCAATCAGATCAAAAACATTCATGCCAAATGCCCATCCACATGCTTGTGGATCAAATTTTGAGCTGATGATTGGATTTGAGAAATTGAGATACTTGTAATAACGATGAAATGCTTCAAGACAAGTCTCCACTGCCCCATTTACGTTTCCATGCAAATCCAATGAGAAAAGAGGCGTTAGATCTTTCTGCACAACAACATCATCATCAAGGAATACTATCTTCTCAAGCTGCGGATAGATCTCTGGTATGTAAAATCGCAGGTGATTCAACAGGGAAATATATTTAGGGTTCCGCAATTTTGGCTCAACTTTTAACTCCTGATTTTCCCCAAAAGCATAGGCCTGTGAATCTACGTCTATTAGCTGCTTTACAATGGGAGCATAGGAAGCATTCAACCAAGACAACTCCTCCATGTTCTGCACCTCTATAGTGGACCCCTTGAAGTCATTGCTAAGGAACCAAGCCTGCATAGCTCCATAGCTAACCCCATTGGTGACAATGTGGAAAACTATCTGTTTAGGATGATCAGCATTGGAAATTGTAGAATTAACTACAACTGAGGTAGCAAGGACATTGTCTGAGAATATGCAGAAGTGGTAGAGATTGTTGTCCACGAGTCGAGGAGAGTTTCTCCGCTCATTTGCAAGGTCTTGAAGCGGCAGCCTTTGAAACCAATCAGCTGAAAGCTTGACAATTAAGCAGTGAAGATTCTTAGGAAATGCTCCTGCCATCAATTGTCCAAACACTGTACTCTGAACAGTTGCTGCATTAGCTCGCTCTTCTAGGGCTTGAATATGAGACTTCATCGTCACTATTGTAGTTGCAATGTCATAATGAGCATCTTGTGCCTTATAAATGAGTGATGATAGATGTCTGATTATTGGCTCTGCTTCCCCTAATGTTATGGGCTGCCCTCTCATTGCAGCTTTTGAAAGCAAAAGCTGGCAACTACGAATCTTTGAGCTTAGCTCCCAGGCAAGGTGAAGGTTATTGTGCTCTTTTGCAATTACAACATAAGCTTTGGCAAGTGTCATTTGCTCCGCCAACTGCCGAGAGTATGAGGTAGCACTCAATATTTCTTCAGTAAAGTTTAAATTCTCATGAACCTGCTCCCTTCTTGAATCTTCCTCCTGGCAGGGGGAATGTCAAAGATGAGTAAGTCCACCAATAATCATTTTAAAAGAAAATGGCAATAAATTACAGTAGTTTCAGTTAACCTTATATTAATTAGAATTGATGCTCATCATATCCAGATCATATAACATATTAAACGGAGGGAGATGGAAGATAAAATCAGATGTGCAGAAGCACTATAAAAAAGCATAATAGATTGCACCACCTAGATTTAGGATATTAATCTAACTTTATCACAAAGATTCCCTGAGAGCTCAAAGATCACATAGAAGACAGATATTCCACCTCTTTCTTCCTTCTGATCTTAAAGAGTGACCAGGGCAATTTCAACCACATTTATTTTCCATTTCATCAAGTACTTATTTTCAATCAAAAGAATAAACTAACAGGTCTGCTTATTAAGGAAACTGGAAGTGGAAAAAATAATATAAGATGTCAACTTGAGCTGGAAAGTTGCCGCCAGCCATGATGTCAAAGTAATGACAGATTTCTGAAGATGGTGGAGAACAGACAAAGTTCATATAACGGATGCATTAGCAGCATCAATTTAGTGCTAGTACATTAATAGGAGTGGTAGTGTAGTGCTAGAGAATGGTTTCAAGATATAGCAAATTAGCAGCTGCATGATTACTGTGGTGATGAACTCAAAAAAATTTCTCTCCCTCCAAGTTATCCACCTTGCATTCTTGTCAATATGGCTTCTCTATATGTTGCAGACCAGCAGTACAACCCCCACCCCAACCTCTTTTGTTTTCTGTGAGTGTTAAAAATTGGGGGGGGGGAGAAGAAAGCCAGTTATAGATAAAAGAGACCAATTGCAAAAGCAAAGAATCCTATTTTCAGTTATCATAGGACTTCCATAAACCAAAATTACAAAACCATGTGCCTGTATCATCCACAAATCATATTGCAATACCAAATTTCAACGAAAAGGGCCTTACTATAGCAAGAAGATTAATTTTTAGATAGCTTCAACATCTATCATATGATTTCCCTCCATAATAAAATTTTAAGAACAAACACAAAAAAAAGCACACAGAGACAGAGAAAATATGAAGTAACATGTTACTATGTGCAGGCATCTAATTTATCCAACACTGAAAATAATCACCACAAGAAATTATGACATTAAAGGTTTTACATATTGTTTATCAGAGATGAGGCATACATGACAGTCCCTAAAATTTTGCCAGTCTAAATACCTTTTTTATTGTTGACACTGGGTAGAATTTTAAGCATATAAAATTCAGTATCTAGTTAAAATATGGTCTTACACCTGAATAGCTCTAAATAAAGCCTGGTTAAGCCTCATTAAACAGGATACTTATAGGGCAGTGTTTCCTGTAAAAAAATGATTTCAGAAGGGTACCGACCATAAACCTTTGTTACTGAGGGTTATCGTTCAGCTTGATCATACAGAGGATTGTTCATTCTAAGTAGGCAATTCATAACCAGGTTAAGATAGTATGATACCAAGCACAGCAAAAAGTATTTCAAAACAACATTAATACTAAAAAGAGAGACCTAGCATACATGTTTGGCATTCAACCTGAGGTGAACCATATATGAACTTTATGTTTAACCTTATGTTTTTATATCCTATGGATGATTCTTGAATGAAGGACCCTCCACATTGATTAAGAAATTGAAAGCTCTATTCAACTCTCACAATGAACCACACACACACACACACATATATATCAATGATTATGAAAATAAGAATTGGAATCTAAAAGTTGATCCATGTTTCTTTAAAAAAAAAATTGATGACATCCAAATACCATGAATATAATCTTCATAGTATGAGATTCACACTCCTTTCTCTTCATGAACTCAACCATCATCAGTTCATATCAATTCCATCAAAGAAATGGCTAGTAAACTTTTACTCTTTCACTTCAACAACTAGCACCAAAATGAAAGACACTGCTATTGGAACTGACAACCACAGGTGGCAGGCATGTTATTAACCAGGAACTCACACATCTAACTCCCGAACAGAACTAGTCTGAATTACTTGACTATGAATCCAAAGACGAATCAGAAATTCATTATAGCTACTGTAATTCAATCTAAAAAAGCAAAACAAGGTTACATATAAATAAATACATTAAAGCAACTATCTACCTATCCCACGTTACATGCTAACATCTAAACTAGACAATCAATCCAGAACTCTTAAAACCTTAATCAATAACCATTTTAACCAAATACAAAATACACCATTTTTATCAATTCCTTTCATTTCCATAATTTGCATCAAACCCCCAAAAGTTTTTCAAACCTATCCACTTCCAAGTTACAACAACAAACTAAAACCACATAAACAACATCAGATAAATAAAATAAATAATGCAATATCAAAATTAAAATAAAAAAAGGACATGGGTTGTATACGTTCTTACATGAACAGGATGCTCAACCCGATCTTCATGATGATTATGATGAACTACAAATAAAACCAATACAGCAACTACAAATAGCCCAAGCAGCGCACAGATCCAATGCGAAAACCTCCTACGAACCGGGCGCCGGTAATCGGCAGCCCGCCGCCGCATCTTTCAACCAAATACCCTCCACAATTCACCACCAAATCAAGATTCCAGTACTACCCATTTATTCAGATTCGATCCAAAACAACACCTCCAACAAATTATATATAATCACTCCACACTTCCTTTTTTCACTCTATAAAAACTCTAAGCAGAAAATAAACAAAGTAACAAAGAACAAAAAAATAGAAAAACTGTTGGGGCTGTTTTGGGGATGTGAATAAGAAATCCTATTAAGAAGTGACAGTGATGGGATCTGGGTTTTGTTGCGTTAGCATGAATAAATGGGTAAAGATTTTAACCAGGGAGACCTTTTTTTTTGGGCGTTTTTTTTGGTTTAGAGATGTAAAGAGAGGGAAAGGAAAGGGAAGAGAGGAGACGCACATGACACCATGTGATGGGCTTAAGCTGGGTTAAGCTTTGGTTACCATGGGCTTAAGCTGGGTTAAGCTTTGGTCACCATTTTTTCTTATGTTGAAATTGAATGCCAATGCCATTACCCCCTACTTTTGGCTTTAATAATAATTTTTTTTTTGAGGGTTTTATTGTTTTCAGTTATTACTGGCCAATTTCCATGTATAAGTCAATGAAAATGGCAGGTGAATTGGCATTTGGCAATGATATTTGTCTGTTCCATGATGTTGAACCGTTACGGCTTTGCTTGTGCTATTATCACCCCATAACAAGTCACCTTTCATGAAAGAGTAGAGCAAGCTTTGATTTACTATTTTTAGGTGTTAATGTTTGAAGTGCTTTAACATTTTCACATGGCTTTGACAGAATAAGACAGAAACAGAACATTATGGAAATTAAATAATGGAAAAAAATAAATAGTAGTTTTATGATCTAATTTAGTTGCAATAATAGTTTTTCAAGTTAATAAAAACAGAAAAGAAATAATAAGAGGTACTGAAATTTCTGTTTTATGATTTTTTTTTGTCAATTTTATAATTGAATCTTTAATAATTCAATCATAAAATGCAAGTTCTAACATGATAAAGGATTCTAACCATACTCCCAAATGATATCGTAGTAAAAAAAATTTTTCATCAATTTAATGATTTATTTGTGAACTCTTATGCAAAATATTTTTGTAAAATCAATATATAATTCAATAAATTTAAAATTAAATTAAATCAAATCCATACAAAGATGATACTTGAATAATATTTCAAACTTACCATTAAAATAAAGTTTTATTGATTTGTCAGTTAAAATTTTTAATACATAATAAAGGGTGGGTTTACATTCATCTACTCACTTCGTATAATAATAAAATAGAAAATACAAAGAAATGACAAATTGGGGTTTAACGCAAATGCTTCACCAATACGAGGTTTCCGATGACACAAAGATTCGATTCATGATTAGGGTCGGCAATCCAATCCGTTTTTGACGGATTTTGATCTGATCTGATTTGATCTTATGAGATAAATTTTTTTTTTTAAATTCGAGTTTCGATTCTGATCAGATAAAATTAAAAAACAATCGAGGTTGGGTTTTAGATAAATTCGATCCGATCCGACTAGATATTATATAAAAAATTAATTTTAATTAATTATTTAATTATATATATTTATATAATGATATTTTTAAATATTTATATTTAAAAAATATATTTTATATTTTAAAAAATAATATTTTATTAATTTCAAGTCGAATCATATTGAGTATGATTTATATAATATCGGGTCGAGATCGGGTTCAAATATGAAAAAATAAAAAAAATTTTGAGTTGGATCGAATTCAGATTTAATAACACATAAAATCAGATCAAATTCGGGGCGAACAAAACCCGTCCCAAACCCAATCCAATGCCAACCTTATTTATGACACTTACTATTTTTTTTTTATTTTTTAAAATTTTGACATCTTATGTAAAATAATAATAATAATAATAATAATAATAATAATGAAAGATACGAAGGTTTTTCTTTTGGCACTTTTATTCTATTGAGGATAGATTAATATGTAATTCTCTATTTCAATGATAGCCCAGTATTTTTTTTTTTTTTAATTGTGAATATAAATCAGTTGTAGTTAATATTGACTTTAATATTAAAGGAAAGGGACCACTGCGTTGGTTTGCACTTGCAACTTGCAAGATTTTATTGACTGAATCAGGCACCCATTTTTGACCTTTAGATGGTATGTTAATGAGACCTTTTGTTTCAATGGGAGGAAGGGAAGAATACCATTTTTTAATCAAATTAATTGTAAGACAAAGTCATAAAGCAGTTGCACATGCTATTGAATGTGAATCACGTGCAGTCGTTACAAGCTGGAGAAACCAAAAGGATGTCTAAGGGTGTTTTAATTTCCTGGATTTGTTTAAAGATTAATTAAATATGAGACTATTATTTCTTATATTTACGTCATATAAAATATTAATAATTTATATATTTATATCATATTTTACATAAAAATTATAATTCATAAAATTATAAATTATAATTCATATCGATATAAAATATATTTTATTAATTTTATATATAATTTTTATTAAAATTTTAAATCGTATCACTTTTATATTTTTTTTAATATCATTTTTATAATGTATTACTATATCATATTTTAAATTATCGAATCTTCATAAACTACTCTTTGTCAAATCTTTTTGTTGTTTTCAACACATTTATTATTATTTGAATATAAAATTTTAATATAAAAACAAATATTATAAAAATACTTAGATATAATATTTCATATATTGCCACCAAACCACTAAACTAAGAACTTTTTACCTCCAAATTAAGATTTCATTGGCGTATTTCTTTAATTAAAGAAGAGTTAGAATTTAGTCATCCCTATCCTTTAAAAGAAAAAAATATAATTTCTTCATAAAAAAAAAAAAAAACAATCCATTTCTATTAAAAAAACTTCCTTTTTCTTTTTTCTTTTTTTTTTTTATTGAAAAGATTATTAATTTTATCAAAGTTGATATTGATAACCTCAAATAACAAAAATCATCCAAATTAGATGGCATTTTTGCCCTTGCTTCTTAGTTTATAACTTTTATCAGTGAAACTGAAATGGTGAATAGGAAATATATATGGACCCAAATTGTAATTATAGTAGTTACATTTATGTTGGTTTTTTTATTATTACTATTATTATATATCGACACATTATTACTTTAATTACACCACTGGACTATACAGATAAAAGTCATATATCAATCCGTGGCGTAATAACTATGCATCAAAATTACATACATGCTAAAGTAAGGACTTTTACTTGTTTGGTTATTCAAAATGGCGAATCATCCAAGGTGGCAACAGCGCATTGGCGACACCATGTTGTGCTGGATTACTTTCCTCCTCTCTTCCAGCACTGCTCCTTGCTTCATAGGTGCCACTGCACAATGTACACTAATGAGATTAGTCATGGCACCGAGTCACTGATATTTTGATAAAATTGAGGTAAAATGGAGAGAATTAGATTTGTTTATAATTTCTCATCAGTTTTCAATTAGCTGAGATTCATAGAAACCTGATGTCGAAGGTCTGCACTGGCTGTGGCAGAAGCATGGAGGATGAGCCTTGGCATTGGTTTTGCTGCTCCCATAGTGCCTGCTGGGCAGCCGCCTTCTCCTTTTCCTTCACCTATTTTTGGCCCAACAACATTTTTAGTACTTGTTACAGAAGTACAGGATCGATCAGGTTCATAAAATTCACATTGTGGATATTGAAATTTAATTTCACCTTCTTTGCCAGTATGTTATTCTGCTCTTGCAATGCCTTATCCTGCATATGGAAGAAATCAGGCAATCCGTCCAGTAGCTCAAGTTCATACAAACATTTTAAACGTTTTTTCCACATAATATAGTACCTTTTTCTGAAGCTCAGAAATTGATTCAAACATGAGCTGATTCTGTAAGTGAAACATTCCAAGGTCAAGTTGCTTTCTGGGCCCAAGTTGCACAATCAAAAGCTTAAATTCTTTAAGTGATTTTACCTTTCTTGACCGTATATGTTTGAGGGCAGAATCAAGTTGTTGCTCCAAATTTTGAAGCTCTCTAAGACTCGAATTCTCCAGATCTTCTCCCATATAATGCCTACAAATATATTTTCTTTAAATATAATTTCTTTTAAGGTTGAAGATGACCAAATACATTTGAAACCTTGAATCAATTTAGTACCTTTCGTTTCTTTGTAAAACTTCCATTCTGGCTTTAAGTTTTGCATGTTCCAGAGTCCAGCTTCCCTGCAAAACATATTGAATTTATCTTTTATTTTCTTTGAGGATACAGAATTAGAAAAACATGGACACATGCAATTATTTCCATCTCATAGAATATCATCCAACTGAATTGGCAGTGGCATGTCTAAGATTAATTTCACATTGTTATCCTTGTTAATCTGAAATAGAATAAAAGCACATCTTTGAATCCTTACTGAAACATGTGTAAGATGGCTGCAAAAAGAAAAGGAAGCATGCTTGACAAATTCTAGAATTTGGAAATTTCTCCATAGAGAGTGGGGGTTTACATTTTCATCAATTTCATTTGCAGCAAGTTGCCTCTCTGCATAAGAATATCTTTCGTACCGTTCAAGGATCCTCTCCATGCTGCACAAGAGATAAAGATGATTTATGTAATTCTCAAGCAAAAAAGAATGAAAACAAATTAATGAAGGGTTAAATGTGCTTCTATTCTAAATAGGCAATTACAGCTTACTTCTTAGTCTATCTGCTTATTCCATACAAAACATTTAAGTGTACTGGTTGTCTTAAGAGCTTTAAGGATAGTTCATATTTGTAACATTTCCTTCCTTTCTCTTTATAGTTCAAATTTTCAATCTGATGTGGCAGAAATGCCATGATAAGTCTTCAAGATTCTTTTCAATTAGCCTACAGGGAGTGTATATATGCACAAGACACTTCATTCCTATACAGTTTGATGAAAAAGAAAACACCAACAAAGCCAAAGGCAGAAGACTACGTCTCAGTGTAAAAAAACATATATTAGGAAATTTTCAAAGTACAAAATTGTAAAAGTTTGATTTGTTATCAGAAAGTCAGAGTGGTAATTAAAGTTTCTGTAGAAAGAGGTTACATCTAACACCAGTTTGTCATTAGATGTGCCTTGCAACTTTTTGGCTATCAGCCGTGCATAAATTTGAGACTACGTCCCCAACTCACTTGATGCGCGCAATCTCGGGATTCTGGCAAGATCCCAAGTCAATATCATACAGATAGCGTTCCTAACTTGGTAGACCTATATGTTATTTGGATTAACGGCGGACGTATCAGACAAAATATGTGTCCCATATATTGGTTGCATTTATTGGGAAATCAACACGTATATCAACACTCAATAGTAAGCTCAAATTAAGAATAAGAATACAAATATATTTATTTCGACCCAACTTAAAATGGCTTACTTCAAACCAAATCCACTATCAAATAAATCTTTATAATTGAGAGACTTTTGGAATGAGAAAAGTCAACTCTTCACTCAAAATTTAACCAAAAACTCAATTACACTCTTTTAATAGCCACCTAACTACTCTCTTAGTGTCTAACTATTTGAAATTATTAAACTAAAACCAAAACATCTTATTTATAAGGGTAAAACCCTTATACCTTTACTAAACTCTCAGTGTAGGATATAAGACAACTTAAACTCTTATAACTTCACTTTAACTTTTGATGTGAGATTATAAGATTCAAGACAAAACCCAACAAATGCTCCCTTTGACTTGAATCTCTAAACACTTCAACAGTATCTGCAAAGCTAACATGCTTGCCTTTTTTCTTTTCTTTCATCACAGGAATCCCAGCAATTGACCCTCCATCAAGCACATACAAGTGATTTTTTGCCGTATTCCCTCGTAAAATCACACTATCATTTTTGTACACTTTTAATGAATCACTACTACTATAGTATGTGTACTCCCGAGAAGTTAACTCACCCAAAGTAATCAAATTGTAGCTACTTTACATGACGAAGTATCCTAACAACACTATTGTGAGATCTAAGGCGCGCACTCCCAATGTTTTGAATATGCACATTTTCGTTGTTAGCAACCACAAACATCCCTATACCTCTCATTCTCATCCAACTCCACAAAGCAACTCCTATTGTTGCAAACATAAACTGTAGCAGCTGAATCTAAAACCCAACCTTTATCAACTTTCAAAATCTGAGTCTCATCCACACAAGTCGTTAAAACATCATTATCATCATCAGACACAACAATAGTAGTATCACTCTTTTCTTCATCCGATTTCTTTTCATCATGCATCCTTTTGAAAGCGACCATATCCCTTCTCCACTTTGTATAGCGCACTTGAATATGTCCCTTTTTATCACAATAATAATATTCTATGTCACTATAATCTCTATCTGTTGACTTAGATCTCCCTCTTGATTCATCAATTCTCTTTTGAGTCTTCCCTCAATCAAAACTCTCTACAGCTAGTGTACTCCCCCTAAGTGATGAATTTTGTATTCCCATAAACCTTTCATTCTCACATAACAGGACAGTCACATCATCCAACTTTAAAGTAGACCTATCAATCAACAAAGTTTGAACTAAAGGCATATAAGACTTGGGCAAAGATGAGAGCAAAATTAAAGCCTTCTCTTCACCTTTTAACTTATCAATAGAAATCGTCAGCAATTAAAAAATAAATTTATTAAACTCATTTAGGTAATTATGAAGATTCATACTTTATTTCATCTTCAGAGAATACAAATTTATTTTCAAATATAATTTGTTAGTTAACAACTTTGATGCATAAATACCTTCAAGCTTATCCCATAAACTCTTTAGAGTACTCTTAATCAACATCATTCTAATAGTACGAACAACTTTCTTTTAAATTATATTCCAATTACTGTCAGACATTCCCTCAGACTTACTACTCTCTAATGTACACAAATATATTTGTTTCAACCTAACCGAAAATAACCAACTTTAAAACTAATACTCTATCAAATAAATCTTTACAACTGAGAAACTTTTGAAATGAAAAAAGTCACCAAAATCTCCTTACTCAAAACTTAACCAAAATCTAATTACACACTTTTAATAACCTACTCACTTAGCTATTCTCTTAGTGTCTAACTATCTGGGATTACTAAACTAAAACTAAAACATCTTATTTATATGGGTGAAACCCTTATACCTTTACTAAACTCTCGATGTGGGATATAAGATAACTCATATTCTTATCTTCACTTTAACTTTCGATGTGAAAATATGAGATTCAAAGCAAAATCCAACAACATTCATGTCTTTGCCTACCATCACTTTCAACAGATTCACTTCCAAAAAATCCAAAAGTCTTTACCCACACTTTCTTTTATAAAAGAGGTCACATCTACACTTTTTTTATTTTTTTTTTATAAAAGAGGTCAAAGCTAAAGATAAAAAAAAAGTTGCAAGTGTTGAGATTCAAAAACTAGCCCTACTAGATGCCAAAACTTAAAACTCACTGTGTGAACCAATTGAACTAAATTACAGTTTTTACTTTGCCCTCTATTTCACATAACATGTTAAATTCAAAACCAGGTATTGGTACAGTGGCACCTCCATTCCCTTTCTTCTACCTTGCAATGAAAAAATTGTGGTGGAAAATGCAGAAGGAACAAAATTCAGAGTTGAAACGAGAAAAAAAAAAGCCCTAGGAGGAAAGAAACTCAACGCCTAAGTGTTTTGTTTATTAACAATTCATTGCTCCTGCAACCAATGCAGAAGTGAACTTTATGCCTTTGTTTTTTTAACAAATAACAAGGTGATAAAAGTGATACATAATGGATGAATTAAACAAATTTATCACTTTTTCTTTGTTAGACCAAAAAACCTCAATCCAATCACACCAACGAAAGTAAAATTAAACAATTAATTAATCACACAGGAGATAACAATTTAACGTGGTTCGACCCAATTAACCTATGTCCACGAATGAAAAACAAGATCCATTAGTTGTAAAAAATTATAAACATACATCAAATCAATCTCACTCAATAATTAATACTCATAGACTCTCTGAATCTCTTCTAGTCTTATGAAGTATTCTTAACTCAAACAAACACATATCAATGTATACCATTTCAACACAATCAAACACATATCTATATATGTCCATACATCATACCTATATGAATCTTCTCAGTCTCTTCTAGTCCATTTACAAATAAACATACACACTCATAAGACATAAAGTCCCAATACCGCTATGGGATGTTTATCTCTTAAAACCCTACAACTCTCTTACATCTTTTTTTCATATCTAACTTTGCAGAGACCTCACTTATTTATAATCATATAAATTTGCTTATTAAAAATTCTTATTTTTTTAGAATCCTTCTTTTGCAAATCAAACTTGCCTATTAAGAATCTTTTTTCTTTTAAAATTCTTCTTCTGTAAGTTTTTTTGTCTATCAAATAATATCTAACAAATCTCAAACAAATCTCTTATAAGATTTGAGTCGTTATTCCTAATAATCTCTACTTAGACTCAAATTTCATCAATTATCAGTCCTTATGTTAAATATAATTCGCTTTATTTGCAATAAGTCTCACGATCTTTTTTTGTGTGTCTTCACACTTCATACAAATTAATTCTTAAAACATGCACTCAAACTTCTTTCTTGAATTGAGCTCCTCTAAGCTTGCCTCTTCTCATGTGTCGAACCATCAATTTTTTTCACATCTCAAACCTTCAGCTCTAATATCACTTATTAAGGATCACTGCAACTTTGATACCATTTATTAAGCCAAAAACCCTCAATCCAATTACGCCAGCAGAAGTGAAATCAAACAATTAATCAATCACACAAGAGATAATAATTTAACGTGATTCGATCTAATTGACCTTCGTCCATAGCGAAAAAATAAGATCCACTAATTGTAAAAAATTAAAAACATATATCAAATCAATCTCACTCAACAATAATACACATAGACCTTTTCAATGTCATCTAATCTTATAAAATATTTTTAACCCAAACAAACACATATTCATGTGCACCCTTTTAACACAACCAAACACATACCCATATGTACCCATACATCATATCTATGTGAATCCTTTCAGTCTCTTCTAGTCCACTCACAAATAAACATACACACTCATAAGACGTAAAATTCCAACACTCTTATGAGATGTTTATCCTACAAAATCCTACAACTCTTACATCTTTTTCTCATGCCTAACCCTGCAAAGACTTCACCTATTTATAACCATACAAACTTGTCGATTAAGAATCCTTCTTTTAGAATTTTTCTTCTCCAAGTCTTAAAAATCTTTCCTTTTAAAATTTTTCTTCTGTAAGTCTTCTTGTCCATAAAACAATATCTAACAAATCTCAAATAAATCTCTTATGAGATTTAAGTTATTATCCCTAACACTTTTTAGTCATGAAGTTAACATTATTCTTTCTGGTTTGGACTTATTGTTCATCACAGATAATCTCGCTTAACAATATGTTGGTAAGGTTTCTAAAAATGGATTCTACTACAAGTTTGTGACTCTTGTGCTTCTTTTTTTTTTTTTTCCTCAACCATAGATTTTATTGATATATAGAAGAAAATTTTGCAATCCAACACATCTATGTA